GGTGAGAGATCTGCTGGCAGGAGACATGTAAGGGTAATCCTTCTGCATGGCGGCGACTGACTCACCCTGCAGCATTTGTGCCCTTGACAGCTGAGCTCTGTATTCTTGCAGCCCTTCCTTTGCGGCGGCATGGCGGAAGCTTTCCTTGTAATCCCGGCCAAGGAATGGGACGAGCTTCTGGAGCAGCTCAGCTTTATGAGCCCGGACAGGGTGCAGCTGCTTCTTCCCGGCGGTGAAATCGTGCTGTCTCCAACAGCAAAGATTGCGTGCTACGAGCCTTGACAGCAGTGAGCGAGTCCATGCTAGCATGATTCAGTTGAACTTCACTCACCTGACCTTAACAAGTTGTGTGATGCCAAGGAGGCGCTGGTGCGGGAGGGGCGTCGCATGAGCATGAATCTGTCCGGGATTGGATCTCGTGCAGTGAAGAGCGGTGCCCTTGACTTCAGCTTGTGGTCCTGAAGCTTGAGTTGAAGACTGCCGCTGTCGGGAACCCATTCCGCCTGGTCTCGGGACGATTCAGGGTGTGCGGCTTTCACTTCGGGCGCCATATGCCTGATCCGACAAGCTCGCTGCTCCGTCCTTCGGGGGCAATCTACACTCATGTCATTCTGGCCATTAATTGATTTAGTTACAAAACAATGTGTCCTCTTCGACTCAATGGGCTGCAGCAATTCCGTCAACACCGTCTCAGACCCCATCTGCTCCACCCCGCAGCCCGTTCGGAAGGCAGAGGCACTCACGGCAATCTTCAGCGGCATCCTGCCAATCTCACCAAGGTTGCAGTTCACGTCGTCCGCATTCCTGGCCACAATGAAGTTCACAGGGGCAGCGACCTTGCTGAACGAATCGAAGATCAGGTGAGGCGTGTCCTGGTACAACGTCATTCGAAAGAAGTCTACGTCAAGACTAGCAACAAGAGTGGCTGCTCTCCTGCGGGCTTGCTGTGATGAGCTTCGGGTCTAAGTCCAACTCTAGCACCAAAGACCGGGCATTTGCATCCTGGTGGTGCAAGGCCGCCAGCACGCAGGCATCGCTCATGCTGGTGAAGAGGACCACGCCATTTCCAGGAGGCAGCCGCGTCCTTCTCGGCACGTTCTTGTGCATGTAGTTCAGGATATCCACCGCGACCTTATCTGATGACGGGAAGTAATGGACTCAATGATTAGTACACTGTGGAGTTGCGACTTCCCATGACATGAAGTGAGACCCTGAGGGCGAAACCAAATCCAGGTCTTCCCACCCCGGCGTGGTATCGAAGGTCTCCAGAACTGCATACAACTTCCACGTGCCCTGGCCCACATTGGGCCTGTCCGGGTGGCTTGCCCAGAAGCAGCTGGACATTGCAAAAAGTAGCACTGGCTGCACCTTGCAAATCCACAACTCCACGCTTGACCTTCAGGAAAGGGTCATCTCGTTGGCGGCTGAGCTGAAGGATGCTGAGGAGCGTCTGAAGGCTGCAAGGGCTGTGGCTGTGGCAAGGGAGCGCAAAATGCTGAATCCTCCGCAGCGTCCAAGCGCCCTCGAGTGCACTTGTGAGCTGTGGGCTGACGTGGCCATTTTCTGAGCCTTCATAATCTCCAATCTCCATCTCCATCTCCATCTCCATCATAAGGGAATAATATACCAAGACCAAGAAATTGCAATGGCAGCAGCAGAGGCCATGCCCAATCCCGGGCTCATTTTGATTTGGGATGCCCAGCTACTTTTGATGATGAAGCTGTGTGAGCAGACTACGCGCTCACCGAGCCTGCTGGAGTTGAGGTCCTGGCGTCAAGTTTTCCATTGTCAGGCCATGAATCGGGCAGGCGCGGTTGAAAAAGGCCTTCCAAAGTTACGTGGACAGCAAGGTGCATTTAATTTGCATTCCATTTCCCCGTTGTTTTCGCGTTGAAGTCCTGACTGTTCGCATTTGGAAATCTAACCGGAGCCAGCCTTAGCACCCAGGTGCTCAAGCGTCAAGACCCTTAATAAATTCAATCGAGCGTGATGTCTGCCAGTAATAACCTGCGTAGCGGTGCGACTTGAGGCCTCTCGGACGTGGTGCGATGTCCCTGGCTTACTGTGACAGGTCCTGATTCTTTCGCTTGGGCAAAGTTAGGGGTAGACTGTGACTACTTTGTTACAGGGGGTATTTGAAGGCCAGTGGTGGTAGGGCTCACAGGAGCTAATGGGAATGGTAGGAGGGGTGGCAGACGTGCTAGGGCGGCTTCAGCTAGTACTTCAGTGTTGCATTTTGGGTGCTCCTTGGTAGTTGCTGCAAACTACACTAGTGAACAGTCAGGTATTGCCCAGGCAGGCAAATGTCAAAGGTTTTCGTGTCTATTTAAACGCATCGCGCAAGCAGACGCTCAAGGTCCTTTGTTGAAATAATGCAAGCTTCTTGCATTCTGAACACCGTGTAACCCACTTAAGCACTCAGGCGTAAAGCGGAGCGGCTACAGTCAGTCGCGCTCAACAGGAGTTGGGGGCTCAGCGTTGGATGTTCGCAGTTTTGCCATTAATGCAGATTTCAGCGTTCGTCTTCATGGACACCATCTGTCTCAGTCAGAATGAACAGTTCTTTCTTAGACACTGTTTTGCTGGCTGCCAAGCTTGCTGTCAATGCCACCAGCTCGCAGAAGAACAGCTTTCAACATCTGATCTGCCATTCCTGAACGGAGGGGGTCAAAATCACCAAAGCCAAGGCCAACTGCCCTTTGATATTGACCTGGTCTCTTTTCCTTTCCACATTGCCTATGTTAGTGGCGACTTGGGATGATAGCAGCATGAAGTGCTTGCGCTTTCAGGCAAATTCGTTGCGGCCAGATGTGGCGAAGATGTGGATCCGTCGGGTTTGCTTTGGGCTGCTGTCGCGAGAAGATTCAACATGTCCGGTGTAGTCTGCAGCTGCTTGATCCAGAGATGTTGTTTGCAGTGAGGCTTACGCCGCCAGCTTGTGTTGGAATTGAAGGATATGTGCTGCGTGCATTGCTCAAGCTGTCGTGTGGTGAATGCTTCAGTCGCAGTCCAGTCATATGTTCATCATTCGGTTTCATGTTGGATTCTTTTTGTTATCAGGTTATGTAGTGTATGAAACAGGATGATCCCCACCAGGTTTCAGGATACATAATTGTAGCATCCTGGCATTACCGCCAACTCTCCGCAATATATTTTCATTAGCTTTCAGCTTGGAGTCTTTTTGTTTCCAGGGAATGTAGTGTAAGCAAACAGGATGATTCCACACCAGGTTTGAGGATCCATTGTAGCATCCTGGCATGACCGCCAAGTCTCGTCAATATGTGTTCTTAGCTTTTTTTTACAAGGTCGTGCTGTGTAACCAAACAGGATGATTCCCTATCAGGTTTCTGAGCGCTAACTCTTCTCATTTGAGGTGTTTAGCTGGCCGCGTCTTGACGCAGCTATGGGCAAAAAGCCGTGTAAGCGACCGGCTTCCAAGCCCGCTTCCGATGCGCCGCATGGTTTCGAGAAGAAGCCTCGGGTGATTGATTTCGCTCCTGAGATGTCTATGGTGGCCCCCGAAGAGACAGTCAAGCTGCTGTGTGAGGCCGCGGGCCTTGTCAGGACATCAAAGATGGACAAGCTGGCCTGGGCATCTGCTTTTGATGGCACCAACATGCCGGACCATACCCTTGGATTCTTGAAGGTCCCAAGTGAGCACATGTGGGGTTGCGAGAAGGCAGTGGGTCCGGCATATTTCTGCCTGTCCAACTCCAGCATGCTGCGCGAGAACGGGCACTTGTACCAGGATTTCGTTCTTGATGGGGATCCATAATGTAACTTCTTAGGTGACATAAGGCCAAGGCAATACTTTTCATTTCCATGGTGTCCACAGTGCAGGACGTGGGATCATGCGTGAAGGGCAAGGGCTTCTGCTACTGCCACAATGGCCCATGCAAGCTCCCATCTTCCGATGGCTTGATTCTGTTTACTGCTGGTTTCGTGTGCAAAGCCAACTCCGCTCAGAACGGGCGACGGTGGGTGGTTGACCCTCTCAGTGTGGATTCTTCAAGTCGCTCGACGTTTGAAAGCACACTTGCTGTCTTGAAGAGTACAAGGCCGACTTTTTTTTGCTCGAAAACGTGCTTGGAGCAAAGCTACTTGAAAAGCATTAGTAAGATGTTTTTAAAGCAGCTGGATTGTGTTTTCCATCAACAGTTGAGTCCCAAAACCTTGTTAGAATCCAAATGGATTCCCTGGCTGAGGGCACCGTGCAAAAAGAACTCGGGCGAGGGCAAGCAGGAGGGTCCAGCAAAGTCGCCCAAGGACTGCTTCTGGGTTTCGGTTTTGTGGGTTTCGGGTTTGGGAGTGAATGCTTGAGGTTCTAAATCCGACATTGTCCAAAGATCCCCTTGCAGGAGTTCTACGATGAGGAGCTCCAGAACGGCCTTGAAGGCTACACGTTGGCTTCCCTTGAGCTGACTAGTGCACCGCTGGCCGAAACACGCCCACGGATCTGGTGGCTAGGGTCGTGTGATGCTGATTTTGAAGCGGCTACCTGGAAAAAGGCTGTGGAGCAGATCCAGGAAGCAGCAACTAGGATCCCGCGGCAGAGCCTGTTCCCGCTCTTTGAAGCGAGCAAGGGGGTTGGGGGCGCTCCTGCTTCAGACAATGCTGCCCAGCAGTATGACTTGGAGGCGAAGTACAGCCAGATCTTTGCAGAGCAGATGCACAAGGCGATCCGTGCCAAGAAGATCCCCGAAAATGCGAAACCCAAGCCGCGGGAAGAGCGGCCGTCAGCCGTCCAGCCAAATCTGCAGAAGCAGGCGCCAGGGTGCAAGGCCATTGCAGACGTGGTTGAACTGATCCTGACATATCAGTATGATCATGATGACATGGCCGGGGCCCCGGGAGACAAAGTCAACATGGTGGCCGACATTTCCCAGNNAGCAGCGAGCGTTGCAAGATATCTGTCAACGGTGTTTGGGGTACGTTGACCACCAGCTCACGGCTGTTTGACTTTATAGGAGGCAAGTTTTTGGATGCGCAGATGCACCTGCGTCTTTTGGGGCTGGATCCAGACAAGCTGAATCTTACGGCGCTGAAAGAAAGGGAGACTTAGTCCATAAACATCCTCAATGTTTCATGACGGTTTCGGTTTTTCCTGCAAGTTGTAGACAACGGGCTCGACGATTATTTGGGGCAACCAATCAATCAGTCCAGGACATGACGGACCTCAGCGGAAATGCAATGAGCCTGGGGCAGACAACGAAGGTTTATTTGCCACTGCTCGCCCATCTGGGGTATTACCGTTCTGCGGGGAATGCTGCGGGCTCCGACGCCGCAATTGCTGCCAGCCCTCCTCCTGTCATCAGCTTCCCTGCTCATGTTAATTGATTAGTTTCGTCCTGCGCTTGTTTTTAACACTGGAGTTTAGGGTTTCGGGTTAGGGTTTA